AAGCCATTAAAACTTAGGAAGAGTGACGAACGGACAATACTTTGTACGCTTTGTTTTAGTCCATTCGAGTCAAACTTCTTCGACAATCCTTGAGATAACTAACAATATTGTCGTCATTAACAATACAACAAAAAACATGCAATTAATAAGTTATGTTGATTTAAACTTTGAAATTTTAAGTTCTAAATAAAGTCACTTAAAGTGTATATTTATATCAAATTAATTGCAATAAAAGAATAGAATGTAAAACAAACCAAATATAAAGGAGTATATAATTTAATGGATTCTTTCAATACATTTAAGCCCAACTCAAGCGCCGCTTCAGAACATGAACTTTAAAGTGAAAGATTGTTAACATTTACTAAGAAGTTATAAAACAATGCCATTGATTCTTACGGCGTCCACGTGTGACCTAAACGTGAATTGAAATTTCAACGTTTAATTATTTGTAACACAAATGTTTAATTCAAATAGTTATAACTTATATGTTTATATTGTTTTAAGATCATGTGTATAACTTATAATAAGTCTTATTTGATAACAGTTGCTAAAAATGTGTTTGCAATTACAAAATTGATGAATGTAATTCTATCAAGTGCAATATGTAGTGTAATCTTATATTATTCAATCAATCAAACAGTTTAAAAAGGGTTAAGTTGTGGTCGTTTGGGCTCAAGTTTTTAGTGATTAAAATATTTATTTGTCTAAAAATGATGCATTTATGTGATGCGACAATTATGTCACTAATGCAACATTGATGCTACTATTGTATTGAATCAATACTATTGATTATTAATAAGTGAAAAGTGTGGACACTTACCCACTTCATAGCAATTGTATGGCACACTCCAGTCAGGCATCAACACCTTACTCAATATTGAGGGCATTCTTCCTTAGGACACACTATTTGTCAATTGTTTGCCAAATATTTAGCATAACATTAACGCAGATCGTGTCCACACAGTTTTCTAACAATTTTTTAATCAATAAATATATTAAATTATTGGAAACAAATGATTTTTTAGATATTCAAATAAATAAAATTATAAACAATATATAAAAACAACTCAAATATATGTGTGATTTGCACAAAATATTTTGAAGAGTGGACTTCTGTACTATCTGTTAAAGTGTGGCCTAAATATCAAATCGACTCAAAAACTCAAAACTTGATTATTGTTACCTAACATAAAAACAGTTATATCTATAGTATATCCGGTTTTACAACATTATTCCCATTACCGGCAGTTTTCCCATTCGTATTGCGTGAGTGAATTAATGCGAGAGAGAGACTACTGTATAAAGAAAGTATGAAATGGACACAGTATTACAACTTATTGTGTTATATATTTGTCGAAGTATTCAATTGATGGACAATTTGTTATCAATAGTAAAATATAGTACAAGAGAGAGAGAGAGAGAGAGAGAGACTACTGTATAAAGAAAGTATGAAATGGACACAAATAATCTTAAATTTACTTAATTTAATAAATAGTATGTCATTATTTAACTGAAGTCTAAAAAGTAGTGTTCAATTTAAATTTACAGTTACATGAAATGTGATTAAAAAAAGTTGTCAATTAATAGTATCTGTTATCGATATTATAATATAATATTAATCTTTCGATACGTGTATAAAATGATGTTCTAAAAAGTAATATCAATTTAAACCAATTACGAGTATTAATACTAATGTATTGTTATAATAGGCAGGTATTTGTAGGTCAGTCCCTATGAGGTCTCGTTTCAATTGAAGGTTACGCTAAATCTTTATTAAATCTCATCTCTTGTACTATATTTTACTATTGATAACAAATTGTCCATCAATTGAATACTTCGACAAATATATAACACAATAAGTTGTAATACATGTATAACTTATTTAACGGTATAATGGTTTGAAAAACTTGATTATTGTCACCTTGATTGATCATACAAACATTTATAATCATTAATTTTATATTAAATCATATAAAGTTAATACCGAAGACTTTTTATGCTAAACATTTTGACAATGCATTTAGCATAACGTCATTTAAATACTTTTGTGTCATATGAATAGCCGAAGATTATTGTATTGACTATTGTGTGCTTTTTAGGGCTTAAAGTTTGCCATTTGTGAACAATTGTTTAATCAATTTTAACGTAAACTAAATTAATTTGTCCGAAACTAAACCGATAGGAATTTTGAGTTCATGTGCTTTATGTTAATAATTAGTTTTAAATTGAATGCTAACCATAAATAAAAACCCAAATTATGTTTATTTAATTATTTTGTTTTATAAACGTTAGAAAAAATCGTATATTGAGTCGAAATTAAGGGGAAATTTATGGGATTTTAGACATTTTCCTTATGATATGTTAGTAAAGCATGAATTGGTTGACAAATATTGTATTAATAATGACAATAATATGAAGATAGGGCTCAAGTGTGGGCCCAATGTGTTTGCCGTAAACATGTATTGATGTGTTTGTTTGGTATGACTTAACCGCCGATGAATTGGTCCTCAAAGAAATTCAGTCGCATAACTGTTGACTCGTTTATCATATGAACGATAATAACATGTGATAAACATTTGGGAAATTTTCCATACATTTTGTTATCAAATAAATAAAAACAATTATTTTTGTTATTTTGATTTCATTACACATTTGAGATGAGAAATAAAATTCAATTGAAATTAGATTTAATTTACCTCTCAATCAATTAAAGGGCAAATAATTGACTTCAAAAACAGTGAAATACACAAAACAGACAAATATTTGAATATTTGTATTAAGTATTCAATGATAATAAATGGAGAAATTAAACAAAACTTAGAAATGAATGAATTGTCCAAAACATGTGAAACACATTTAAACTATAATTTGAGTCCAATTTTGGTTCAAAACAGGATTTTTTTGGACAACTTTTAGACGATTTAAAAAGTTTTTTAAATTTAAAAATACCAAAACATGACGTAATGTAATGTATTGGGGATTGAGTGCACATATTATACATGTTTTTCGATTCACATTTGGTTTTAATATTATATCAATTTATTATTGTTTTAATTTAATTTACAATTGATTTGATATTAAGTTAATTTAAAATAAAGTTAAATAAATATCAATACAATTAGTTTTAAATAATTAACAATAGGTATAGAAAAGTATGTAAATTGTGTGAAAACCCCCATTAGTTGTCATCAGCTGTCAAAACAAAACTATTTATTTTTTAGTGAGTTTTAAACCATTGTTTCATTTGTTGTGATGTTTTAATTGTTAAATCATTAATTGATTTCATAACCAATCGATACGATAATTGTTGGACCAAATGGTGAGCTCTTATCCTGTTTTATATAAACATAAGATATGGCGTGAAATGTGTTATTCAGTGATTAAATAAATATCTCATTTTAATTCAAAACAAATGATTAAAAGCTATTTATAATATTCATATGATTTGATTGTCAGGCAATGAATACATTATTTAATTTAAATATCATTTTTATATTTAAAGTAGACGTCTATTAGTGTATATGAATAACAATTAATAAACACTTATCTCATAAGCATTTGGATGTGAAGGAGTGGTAATGTGTTTGCCCTGTTGTCTGTGTTGTGGATTACCATGTTTTATATATACTGTTAATTATATTTAATTAAATGCGTTAATTATAATGAAGTGTATAATCATGAAAACACTTGATTTAAACCTCTGTAATGAATGTTATGTTAAAAGATGTCAAATGAGATGTTAATGTGTTATCAAATGTTATAAATTAAACAAAAATGATTTGCTTATGGATTGGCAATGAATTCAATGAACCAATGGTTACAAACATTACAATTAATTTTTCCAATCATTTGTTGAAATCTCTTCC